AATTTGATAGTGCAAGTATATGAATTTGATAGTGCATTTGTACGAATTTGGTTGACCAAACCCATAATTATAGCTATATAGTATTGCTATCATTATTGTTCAATATTATGAAACATTTGGATCACCTGATTTGCAGCTTTTTACAGGGGTAGACTTGAAACCTTTGCACGAAAATGTTTTACAACCTAATGTGTAAAATGCTATATAATTTTAAATATAACATTTAAAAACTTCTATAAAAATTCTATTTAAAAATATTTTGCGCTATTATTGTATAATTACTACTTCACTATAACTAGAAAAAATACTGCACTCAATTTTATAATACGTAAAATTGGTTGCAATGATCATTTTTCTTACTATGTATTAATATACAGTAGCCTCTTACGGGGGGCAGCCACTTATTTTAGCAAGTAATACAAACTTCTAAAAAGGAGATGGCCAATCAGAGAACACAGATTTTGACTATCCCGGATAAGCCCGACAAAGATTCCGAACACGTGCGAAAGAAGAAAAAAAGAAAAGAAACCGAAAATACTCAAAAACTAGAGTTTTAATCGACCTTGATTGACTAATAAAAAATAACGGGGATAAAATTTCACATATAAGAAATTCCAACTTATCGCTAAAGCTCACAACCCTAATGTCCTAATCCTAAACTTCTATTTTTATGCACTTAGTTTATTTACAAAATTGAATTTCCTTTTTGGTTTTACTCGCAAAAATCGCTTACGGGGGACATGTAAGAATGCGTCATCTAATTATATGGAAACAATCGAGAATTTATTAATTAAAAATGTATTTTTAGCACATGCATACACACAATAATGCATAAATCTTACTATGGAATAAAAGTCGTTGAACTTTAAAATCCTATGAATACGATAAAAAATTTCGGGGGCATGTTCAAATTACTATAGCACTTATAGAACTATAGCTATATATAGCACTATAAGATAATTATATAAAATTTTTTGACGAAAATCTTTTGCGTTTTAGTTTATAAGGAAATGAGGCGGATCACGAGTAAAGGTGAAGCCAATAAAAATAAAGATTCGTAACCAACCTTAAACTTAAACAGAACCAATTTACAGTGCACCGGCAAAAAAAAGATTAGAGCGGATTAGAGCGGGTTAATTAAAAACTGGCAATGAAGGGTTTTTATTTTGGCTGAGTTAGCGAGTGTTATACTAAATACTTAAACTGATCTAATTTGGGACAGTTTTTCTAATAATAATAATAAGTCTATGAGTACCACGGGTACCCGCGGGTCTGCGAGCCGGGCTAGAGCATTAAGTTTTGAGCCCTAGGGTAAGGGTATGGGCTCAGAAGTCAAGCCCTTACACAAACGAGTAGGGCTAGGGTAGTGCCAGTGCCCGGCCCATGTGGAGGCCTAGGCGCAAACATAATCAGGTGTAAAGTTACATGATCAGGAAAATTCAAAACAAACGTTCTCTTTGTCAAAAACCGCTTTTTTCTCAAAAGCTGAATAAGAAATTACCTTTAGTGTTCTAACAAAAAGTTTTCCCTGAACGATTTTACTAATAAGCTCCTCTAACCCTACCGAATTTTTCGATTCTCACATAATTGCAACTTCATCATGTAATTTTTAAATTGGTTGACAGTCGATTGACTTATGGATGCCAGCGATACAGATTAGAATCGATTGATGCTGATTAAAATTGATTAATATTGATTAGTATTGCTTGATTGAAAATCGATTAGCATCAAAACAAATTAAAATCGATTATTTTTAATCGATTGTGCATCGATTAGAAACCAATATCGATTATTATCGATTTTTCTAATCGATGGTAATCGCCCCTGTAGCTGGAATCGACATCCACCCTATTTAAAAATTTCCCGATGCTTTTTGGTGGTGATACTGGGGAAGATCCGTACAAATGACCAACCATCATTATTTCATTATCACCCATTACTGAAATAGCTTTAATAGAGGCTTAATACTTTTCCTAAATTTATTGAAGTTGATAATTTAGGTTTAAATGTGTACCTTGATAATACGTAGTACAGATTATACCAAGCAGATAATCAAGTAACACATTAAAATTCATATTTCTTAAATTATCGAAATCAATAAAGGTATTTATGTCGTACGTATCTAAATTTGAAGTTGCAACTTTAGATAGTAACTTTAGATACGACACACTTTCTTTATAAGGTATAATTGTGGTTTTTAGATTTCTTGTATCGTACAATGCTCCTTATTATCTTCAGCCAAAAAATCAAAAATATACCGTATACTTAATTCTGATTGTCAGTTATCCTGTACTAATGTACGTGGTTGCAAACTTTCATTGTAAAGGTGTAATACAAATTTTTATTTACCGTTAAGATGCTGTTGTTCGTATGACCTTGAAATAAAAGACAAATTGCCTGATGACGATTGGAATTCAGGATATAAAAGACTATATAAATAATTTAAAGTTTGGGCATGTTCGGATTTCTAGGCATTGTTTGACAGGGCGATGTATCTACAAACTTATAAATATACAATATTTTGAAGATTAGGCAAAATTATTCAAATATTAAATAATTTCAAAATAGAATCATTTGAAATTTTCGTCTTGAATTTTGTACTTTAAAAACTTTAAAAAGAATTATTATTCGTTCAATTTATCATTCTTACGTGTTTAAAATGAGCTCGGTGTCAGTCGTAGTTAAAGATCCACAAAAAGATAACCCGCATAACGGAAAGGAAATAAGTCAATATGTTTTTTCACCAAATATGGAATATGTTGTGACCTGGAGTAAAGATGATCAATCAATTATTGGATGGACCATATCAAAAGAACCTAAACTTGAATTTGACAATTCGATAAACGCCGAAGAACTTGAAAAAATTGTGTTTAATCCCAATAAATCTCAAAATATCATAGATAAGTTAACAGGAGTCTCAAATTGTAAACAAATCATACTAGACCTATTAAGAACAGAACCTTATGATTTTGGTTAGTTACTATAGAATTAAATATCAATGATGTTTAAAATTATTAACTATATTAACAAATTTTATTTTAACAGAAATTATTGATATTTCAACTAAATCAAGACAAGTATTAAATGCGCAAGGATTAAAAGGATACAAAGACAAGATTACCTTTCTTGAAAATGGAGATCTGGCAATCGTCAAAGGGAAGCCTGTTAATCGGGTTTATATCTTTACAAAGTCTAAATCTTATGGCAAACAAAAATGGACATGTAAGGATATTATTAATCTTAAAAAAAATTTTTTTTCATTTTTTATTTTCGAAAATGTAAAATTATTATTGTTTTTTGAAACACCCTTTGTAATCATGCAATGGGACTTAAAAACTCGGGAGCTTGAGATGGAATATATATTAAATTGGAATATATCTTTACCATTGGAATTAAGAATGAACAGCGATAATACATTGTTAGCAGTAGCAAGTTCGGCAGTAGCTAGTGATACTAAAGGTAATGAAATATTAATCAATGTTTATTCAACAGAATCAGGAGCAATGATAGCAAATCGTGAGTATTTTATAAAGTTACCTATAAATGTATACTGTATAAATTGTTATTAATTTTATTTAACGAATTTTATTTAATAAATTTTATTTAACGATTAAGGATCATTTAAGGAGTCTTTGCACAATTTTTGTTTTATTGGATCAAAAGAAGAAGAACATTTGTTTTTCTCTGGTCCGCAACATATTACAAAGAATTATACCTCTTATATACTAAATCCTAACACACTTAATTATCAAGAAAATTTTACTTTACATGATATTTACTCTCCAACATACAAAAAACATGATAATCAAATTAATATTATCACTGATTTTATTGTTAAACTTGACAAAAATAATTTATCGATTCAAAAATTATCACATAACGAAAATTGGAATAATAATTTACAAAAAAAATATTCAAAATGTAAAGAGCATCACGAGGGTAGTACTTTTTTCAACGTAAAAGAAATTGAGCAATTTGTGCAGGATATTTTAGGAAAGTGTAATTCAAATCACAATTTAATTCAAGAATATCAAGAATATTCAGATGAACCTAAAAAATCAGATGAATCTAAAAAATTTGAAGAAATTCCACATGGTGAGTCATACACCTGGTTTATAAAAACGGAAAAAATAAATGATCAAGCTGCAACAACTTTAAAAGCCAGCAATGCTGAGAAGAAAACTAGTGAAAAAACAGTTTGGGCACCTGATGATAACGGAAAAGGTTATATTTTAGAAAATAAAGTGCTCAAAAATGGAGATATTATATTGGTTTGCTCTGATAAAATACTAATATATACAGCAAATTTAGAAAAAGAAACACTTAGTGTAATTTATCAATGGAATAATAAATATAAGAAAGAAACAGAAACAGTTCAACAATCAGTGAAGAGACTTCTTACTTCTTTTAATTCTCTTATTAAAAAAAGTATTAAAAAGTCGAATTTTAAATTTTTACCGCCACCAAGTTTACCCCCGCCAAGTTTACCACCACCAATTAATAATATGAAAAATGATGAATTGACAATAAAATTATATGGAAATAATCTATTTGATTCATTACTTAAAAGAAAAGAAAATCCTGATATTCTAAATTTGCTTGAAAAATGCTTCGAATATAGCTTTTCAATGTTCAACAATGGTAATATTTATGACTTTATTTTGTTTACAAGTCAAGCTGCTTCTGCATTAGTACAACTAGAAAAATATAACAAAAAATTAAGAGTTACTGAAACTTTTTTATCTAAAATTAGTTTACTAGTTTCAGATAATGAGGAAAATTCTACAAATATTTCTGATTTATCTCATCTTCAACATTGTAGACCTTATGATTATTCATCTTTATCTATTACTTCTCCATTTGATTACTTGCTTTTTTGGATATCTGAAAAATGTAACTTTATCAAAGAGAAACATCCTAAAATTTATAAAATTTTTGCATCTCCTTATTTATTTTACTCTTCTTATTTTCCAACTAAATCTCGCAAAACTGTAATATTAATGTTTCCTTTATTGAATTTTGCCACATACCCCAAAAATTATTCTTATCTTGAATTAATCCATTTACATGATAATGTTTTTACTTCACTTGATAAAACTGATTATTATAAACAGTGGAATATTAGAGCTCTCATTAAATTCAAGTGGAATACCTATGGAAGACGTTATTATATTATTATTTGGGCAATATATTCAATTTTTATGAGCTGTTTTTTAATCGTTTCAACAATTCGTGAAGATAAAATTTCTTGGAGCACTCAATCAATTCTTTTGGGAGCAACTATCTTTTTTGGTTTTATTCATTTAACTTTTGAAGTTCGTCAATTTATTCATAAACCAAAATATTATATTTCTAGTCCTTGGAATTGGATTGGTATATATTTAAATTTTGATTTTTTTTATACAGTATTATACGTATATTATATATAATTATTAAAATTTTAATTGTATTTTAGATCTTGGTGCAATACTTTTTCCAACAATAACTTCAATTATATGGTTACATGATAAAACTGCACCAACTTGGATTATTACTGTTTCCGCTTTTTTACTTGAAATCAAATTTTTATTATTTTTCCGCGCTTTGAAAAAGTTTGGAAAATTTTTTGCCATTATGATTGGTGTAGCACAGCAAATCTTTTCTTTTCTTGCTGTTCTAGGAATTATGGTCTTAGCTTTTGCTCATTCTTTGCATCTTTTGTTAAGACCTACTAGTGATTATTCTTATAATCAACCAAGTAATGTAGATGATGTTAATAATCCCTGGAATCTTGTTTCAACTTATAAAATTATTTTACCTAATGGTACTGTTAGTGATTATTCACTTATTCAAACTCCTAATGATAATACAAATCTATTCGCTTGGTTTAGTACTTCTGTTTTAGCTGTATATTTTATGCTAACAGGTATTATATAATATTAACTATTTGGTCAAAATACTGATATAAGTCATAAGAAGTTAACCTTATACGTATAATTATTTTTAGGCGATAAGAGTTCGGTTACTTCATGGATTTTTAAAAATAATTGGACTTTAGCTATTTTATTAACTCTATTTTTATTTTTTACGACTATTTATTTATTAAATCTATTTATTGCATTACTCTCAAATGCTATGAGTAATACATATAATAGAGAATCTTATTTACAAATAAAAGGAGAGGTAAATTTTTATTTTTATACGTATTATAATTATAATTTAAAATATTAAAATAATAACATTAAAAATACGTAATGTTATTTCTAGATATTAGCTGAAATTGAACTTCATTGGATGTTACCTCATCAAAGAAGAAATAAAAATTGGTTTCCTGAAATTTTGTAATTATTTTTATTTTTATGTTGCAAAAATTTTATTGCAATATTTCTAATATTTAATTTAAACATTTAGATATTACGAAGCTACACTTAAAAAGCTTAAAGAATACTTTAAAAATGATGAAATTTTACACGATTTACTTCCTGCGATTAAAAAAATTGCTGGAATTGAAGTAGTTGAAGTCTTAAATAAAGACACTGAACTTTATGAAATTAAAAAAATTATTAAATCTGTTGAATCTAAAGACATGAAAAAAGACATCGCACTTCACGCAATCAAAAAAATTCTTGAAAGTAAAGATCCTAATGAAGGCAATACTCCAAATAAAAACAATGCTCAATCTGAAGTTAATACTCCAAATGAAAAAAATGCTCAAACTGAAGTCAATGAAAAAAATGCTCAAACTGAAGTCAATGCTCAAAATGTAGTCAGTGCTCAAAATGAAAACAATACTCAAAATTAAGACAGTGTTCCGAATAAAGAAATGCTAAAGACCGAGCTATGGTAACATGGGACCAGTTTAAAATTAGTCAATCATAATTTTGAGATATAAGCATATAGAATAATAATTATTTTTGATGTTTTCATGATTTTATTGTTTTTTTTTTTTATTTTAAAATCTTTTATGTAATTCTTTATAAAGATTAGCCTAATAAAACATTTCATATATTTGACCAATCCAAATGCCAAAAAAGTGAAATTTTATATATTATTGATCGAAATATACTGTATATATCAATATTAAAATGATTGTCAATGTTGCATCTAAAGTAGCCACCCTATCTAAAGTAGCCCTGGGCTAGAATTACGATTTAGTGCATGCATGAAGA